TGCTGTTGCTGCTGTTGCTGCTGCCCGAACTCCATGAAGGCGGATTTGGAGGAGTCCTGGCCTTCCAAACCGTCAGCCATCGTAGTCATGGTCATCATCAAAAACTTTGGGGGCTGGAGAAAGCCTTCTCCCGGGTTTCCTCCACCCTCCCCCCCACTTGGCTCGCGCCGCTCACCCCTCTGCAGCCACCTTAGCTCTTGGGATCCTTGCAAAAAAAAATATTTAAAAATATAAAAAAAATTTTTAAGAGGGGGCGGAGGTGGTTCTCTCTCTCCCTCGCTCTTCTCTAATATATATATTTTTTAATATAAAGAGATATAGTGAGCGGGGCCTTGTTAACTCAAGGGAGGAGGAAGGGGGAGGGATGGGAGAGGAGAGGGGGGAGGGGGGAATCTGCTCTCCCCCCCTTTTCGTTCCCCCCTTGGATTTTTGGGGGCTGGTGCAGTTTAAGGCAGAGATTTTAAGGTGGATTCTGCGAAAGTTGCGCGTCTGCTTTCAGACTTGATGCAGACGCCACGAGTCGAATGGTTTGTCTCCAAAGGGCAGCGCCTCCCCATTGGTCAGTCGCCCCCTGACGTCACAGGCGCACGGCTTCTACTGGCGTGCGCGCGGCTTGCGGAGTTCTTCTACCTTCGGCAACTCCTCTCCCAGCCCCGAGCTGCGGCCGGGGCCGGTTTGCTGGGCGCTCGCAGCCGCAGGCAAGGGAGGCGCTTCCGCCCTGCGACGGCAGTGGACGCTTTCGGCTGCAGCTCGCGCCCCGAGTCCTGGACCTTCAGTTCGCGGCCCCGGAACCGCCCAGCTGGGGGCTGTTCTCAGTCTACACCCTGGCTAGGTTGCCTGTGCTCAGAACAGTGCCGTCTGCATTTAAAAGCAAGCCCCCCTCCCTTGACCTCCTCCCCGCCAACAGCCCACTCCACTCCCACGGGAGTGCCCTGTCACCGAGGTTTTTCTAGACGTACTTTATTAAAATCACAGAGGGAAGAGGAACCCCCACACGTGGGCTCCACCCATGAGGGGGGGGTAAAGAAAAAGCAAAAGCAGACCCCGTTCTGGCGAGGTTCCTGGCATTTCAGGCAATATTTCACATATATGTTTATATATATTTAAAGGAAGGGGCGCCTTGCCTGTTTTCCTGAACGTAGCAGCTTGTTCTGAAAGCGAATCTTTGGAGGACGGACAGTAATGCATTTTTTCCTATTGAAAACAGGAGCTACTGTAATGCTTTCAAATATATGCAAATGATACATGCGGTTAGTGGTTTGGCAAATCTTGATTACAATATAAACTACCCAAGTAAAAGTGCCTTCGTCCTAAATTTGTCTCTCGATTACAATTCCAATTGATTTTATTTTATTGTCAACATTGTTAATGATAAAAATAGAGTCGTTTTACAGTTATTTTTACTTTCTGGAAGGAGGCAATTAGAGTTCTAATCAGGAATACACAAAAATCTCCCATGATTAACTGCAGTACTTTGTTCAAATTGCTGCTATAAAATTCAGAACAATTTGCCTGTAATGATTATGGACTGGGTTTATTTTGGGAGGTGGAATAAAAGTGGATATAGCATAAATTATCCTCTAATTATACACCAGTGTCGCCTCAATTATCCTCTTATCAAAATGGTTGTCTAACTGCCGCATTTAGTTTCAATTCTCTCCTTTTTTTCTATAAAAAGAACTTCATACCTTGTTATTATTAATCCATTTATTATTTGCAAGGGGATTTATATCCGCACATCCAGGTGGTAGAACCACTTCTCTTTCAAAGATGGACTGGGGAAAGACATTAAGTTCGGAGCAGCCCGGGGCTGCGGATCTAGTATTTCTCCCTCCTATCTTCAGACCCAGTCATGTCCTGGCAGCCAAGCAGCGACAGCGGAGCCCGGGCACGCAGCTCAGGCCCGGCCATCAGGTAGGAAAGGCTGACCCAGGGCCGGGCGCCGCGGAGGGCTAGTCGGGATGCGCGGGGGTCGGATCTGCGGGATGCCGGAAGGTGCTGGGAACCAGCACTGCCAGCAGGTCGGCCCCGGGTAGGAGACCTGCAGACCTTGGGGGGCTTGGCGCTTAAGATCTGCGGATACCTAACCCCGAACCTTTGGCCACGCAGCGGGGTGGGGTGGTGGGGTGGGGGAAAGGTACTATCTACCAACCTGGAATGGTGAGTTGTCTAGGTGTTGTGGACTCTAGCCTAGGGAGCTCTTTGGGGAAACCTCTAGGGCGGGGGGCTCCTTTGTACCTTATTTCGCTTAAGCCCCATAAATTATGCCACCCAAAGAACCAGGGAAATCGAATTTCTGGAGCTGCGGCTGGGTCCCCTAACTCCAGAAAGGGCTGGCTGCGGACCTAGCAGCTAGGTGTTTATTTGCATATTGCTCAAAGCTTACTGACGGCGGCTTATGCTAATTGATTTCCCCAGGTCGTAGCCTAGCGTCTCCCGCATCGCCTAGCCGGTTTGCATTTTTCTTTCTTTCTTTCCCCGGTTTTATCTCAAAATCCAAATCGCTGCCCGCAGGTTTTCTCCCAAGCTCCCAGGACTGCACCGCCTGCTCCTTCGCCCCCCGCGCCCGCCCCTTCCTTTCGCAGTCGGCCGGCCGGCCGCACTTAATGTCTTGGGCCTCAGGGAGCCGGTTCAGTAACTCTGAATTTATTTTTAAGTTATGTGCCTTGTTGTCCGTTTTAACAAGAGGTCCACTTTAACACAGGATCCAGTAACCCGATCCACTCGTTTACAAATCGACAGCAAATTAAAACAACAATAACAAAAAGCTTCAAGGCAAAGGAAAGGCAGGCTGTGTCAGAGGGGATGTGTGTGGAGGGCTGGGAGGAGCGGAAGGGGAGACCAGGAGCAGAGAAGGTGCTCCCCAGCCCAACTCAGCTCCGTGCACCGGGGCTGCGCGCCCAGAGCCTCTTTGTGTTGCCCTCAAGCGAGCAGGTAGACGTGGCAGTTTTATTGCTTTATACCCTGCAGCTCGCTGTTAACACGGTGAAGGCGTTCCCTGCCCCTCCACCCCCCCATGCATGTCTGTCTTTATGTTCGCAGGTGTACTGCATTTCTCGAAGGTCTCCCCCCTCCCCTGGCTGCACCCCAAGCGGGGTGGGCAGTGGCAGTGCTGAGGGAAGTTCCCCCGCACTTGAGCAAGCGATCCAGGGTGCCTCAGCCTCTATTTGCTAAAGGATTTTTCGTGTTTGCTTAAAGCTTGAGGGAGCGAAGAGGGCTGGGACTGGCCGCCAGGTAGTGGATGACTCCCCTGGCTCTGCGCCGTAGAGAAGCACGAATGCCCAAGTGCCTAGTGGCCCGTTGTTGCGTGTGGTAAAGACCCTGCTGGGTAACTGCATGTCAGATGCGATTATCTCTTTGTTTAAAATTATTATACAGATGCATACGATGTTTCTGAAATAACAAGCAGCCGGTAGCAAGGGTTGTCCCTGGGTTGCTGTTAAGGCCAAGAAGGGGGAAGAGAGGCTTAATTTCCACTTTTTCTCTTCTTGCAACTCTTATATTTTTCTTATTACATTTTCACCTGCTGGAAGGGGAAAAAAAGAAAGACAGAGCCCCTGCTGAGATCTACTGGGCTGCCCCAGAGCTCAGATAGCCAGACAAGGGCAGGGGGCAGGGGCAGGGAAGCAATGGAGGGGTTGCTCAGTGGTGTTGGTGGCGCCTAGATTCCAAGGATGAGCGCCCCTCTTTCCCACCAGTTCCAGGAATCGTGACCCGAGAACCAGCCTGGTCCACACAGTGTGCCGTGGCAGCGTGCAGAGTGACTGCCACCTGTGATCCCTGCCACCAGCCACCGCCAAGGGGTCGAGGAGTTCTGTGCTGAGGGGCCGCCTGCAGTGGCGAGACACTCCTCACGGTCATTTCTCTGCCCCTAAATACAGCCACCTAGCTTCCCAGGCCTTCGCTCAGTGTCATGGGTGGCTGAAAAAGAGTCCAGATTAAGTGGATGGAGGCTCCACCCGTCCAACCTGTGCCTTCAAGCCCTTGTGAGAAAGGAAAGAACTCCTGGGTCCCTCAGGGTCTCTCTGAGAAAGCGCACATGTGGGGGCGGGAGCTCGGGCCACGACACCCCGTGTCCCTCTCCAGCCTTTGTCTCCTCCACCTGGGAACCCTTGAAAGTGGGGGAGGAGGAGAACCCTGGGGAGGCAAATCCTTTATCATTCAAAAGAGAAGTAAACCCTGGCCTGTGGCAGATTCCAGGGTTCAGAGGCTTTAGGCTCTTATGCGGCTGGGGTAGGCAAGTGTTATTAGAGGCTGATCGGAGGCATTTTAAGGGACTAAGGTGTTCGGACTTGTATTCTATCAATGTGATTTGGAGGGGAGGATTTAGGATTGCCAACACCAGACCTTGTGCTGTGTGCGCAGGCCCCAGGCCAAGGAATGGGCTCTTTGGGGTCCAGACACTGACCCCTTCTTCACCAGCTCTGTCCGGGGCGGGTGCTTGCACACACACATTAAGTTTGGAAATGCATTTGGTGCTGGAGGTGGGTTTGTAACCATGCTGGCCTGTAGAAGTACCATTCAATCCAGGGCCTGGCTGGGTTTGGTTGCTAAGTTGGGTTCAGTTATCACATTAATTCTAAAGAAATTAGACCTGGATAAATAGCCTTTGAATTCAATGAAATAACTCGGTATTGATTTACACAGCCACACTAAGAACTGCCTTCTCAATGCTAGACATTGTTGGAAAAAAAATTCCTGCTAGTCTTTTCCTCATTCACTGTAAAATGCTGTTTGTGTACTTGTGTAGGGAAAGGGTGCCTGATGTCCTGGAAACCCAGACAGCCTCCTCCCCCGTTGCACACACCTGCACAAGTTTGGGGGCAGATGGGAGATGCCGCTGTCCCTTTTCTAGCACAGGCCAGCAAGGGAAGCTTCTGGAGTGACCAAAAGTACCAAACTTTGGAAAACAGCACAGACTGGATTCATTTTCTCCAATGATGAAGTGGTAAACTTGTTCGGATTGATGTTCCCCAAAATCCAACTAAAAAATGAACAATGTTAACTCCAAATCCAGAAAGAGCCTCACTGAAGTCTGAGGACATATCTCCCTCATCTTCCCATACCTAGATCCTCAGAACAGGTAGCCAAGAAACTT